TTTGGGTATTAAATATTTTTGAGACTATTTAGAGAGATTGAGAAATATTTTTGGAAGTATATCTAAAGTCAAGATAAAATTTACGTTTTCATAAGAAGTGAGCACCCGGGAGAAATCCGTGGTGTCGGTTTTCCACATCCAGATAAATGTGGAGGGTGATTAAGGCTGCTACTACAAAGAAGTACAGTTTGAGTTTGAAGTGACATTTGGATCTATGATCCCTTTTAAGAAGAAGTTATAGTAGTGGTCCCTAATCATTCAGAGATATCTTATTCAGGGGTAGTTGGTAGACTGAGTCCCGATTACTCGTGACGACTTACTACTCGGAGGGCTTGGAATCCCTTTTAGGGGGTGTGCACACTTAAGGTATTCGTTTCGTTTCCACAAGAGCAGTTGTGGTACCGGCATTGTTCGGGGTGGCCGTCCGTAACCACAGTTCACCGGGCTCAGCCGAAAGGTTGAGCACCGCCCTTCTAAATTACTAGGAAGATAGAGAAGAAGTGAATTTTGAGAAATATTAAAGAGAAAAGAATTTCGGTGGAGTGAGTTATTTTTATATAATATTATATAAAAATCTATTTTAGTCAAACGTGATTATTTTACGGGGTTGGGTAGTACTTACTTAGCTCTAAAGCTAATTTTTGTTTCCTCTTCCTTGTTTTGTTTCTGCACTTTATTTGTGCAGGTGATGGTGATTATGTTGATTGTTGATTGCACGCGCCTGAGAGCGAGTTAGAAGTTGCCTTAGTTAAATTTAGTCTTGAAATAAACATTTATTTATTTAGTTTTATTGTTTTGTTTTAGTTGCCTGTGCATCCGGTTGAGAGATGACCGGATGTGGCGGTAACACCCATTTCCCTATTTAGACTTCCGCTGTATTTTTCAAATGACTTTATCAATAAATAAAAGTTTTATTTCAATCATATCAATGTTTTTGGACGAGAAATTTGGGGGTGTTACAATTACGCGTGCGCTAACTTAAGTTGTATACTCCGTAAAAATGTGAAGTGTCACTACATGATGTTGATGTATTTGTGTTAGAAAATAGCAACACTTTTGTGTTACTATTGGTATTATTTCAGAAAGTGTCACTATCAAAGTGTCACTATAAGCCAGTTTTCTACTAGTGTCAAAATGAGGAATCAGGAGATTCAGAATGAGATAATCAAACAACTGGAAACAATACAAAAACAAACTTGAAGAAATGGAGATGAGAGTGGATACCAGCTCGGCGAACTCTCCTCATGAAAAAAACAAAAAGTGATCATGACAAGGATCCTATGATAGAAGGGGTTTCGATATTGAGAGAAACACCATTCAAGCTCAACCTGCATAATTTATAGATAGGTAAATCTCATCAGAAGTTTAAAAACCTAGAACCAACAGGTAACTACTATATATTCACATATTCCTTTTCCCAAGCTGGATTTCCCAAAATTTGATGGTACAAACTCAATATCCTAGAGAGTAAAATGCAATGGGTATTTCAAACAGATGCCTCATATAGCAATGGGCCAAAGGGTCACACTGGCTACCTTGCATTTTGAAGGAAAGACATTTTTATGGGTTCAACATCTAGACAGAGAAATCACACACTCACGTGGGACAAATTTATGAGGGTAGTTTCTGCTAGATTTGAAGGGCTCAGGGCAACCTAAGTTATTGAGGAGTTCAATAAGTTGTGGATGAGATCTGATTATGAATTATATATGGAAAAAATTGAAGAACTAAGATCCTGTATGTAAATGATACACAAGGGGGTACTCATTGAGTAGTATTTTAGACTCACAGATGAACTAGAGGCTTTTGTCAAAATGTTCAAACCTACCACCCTGGATGCAACTGTTGAACTGGTTAAAAATCAGTTAGTGACCATTGATTCATTATCCAAGAAGATTAAAATGGGGGGACCATTGCATAGTTCAAATCAAGGCGTAAGGAAGATGGATAACCCCTACACTACTCCACTTCACACAAGGGCAAATCTTGGTCAAACCCAACCCCCTTTTAAGTTTCTCACTCAAACTGAAATGGAAGCTAAGAGAGAAAAAGGACTATATATGTTTCAATTGCGATGAGAAGTTTTCACCTAGACATAGGTGTAAGTAGAGAAGGTGTATGTCCTTCTGGATGATGATGACCCAGGACCAGATGTAACACCCCGGCCGCGCAGGGTCCGAGGTAGTTACTCCAGACCTCTAGTACTGTCCTCACAAACCACCACAAGCCTTTACCGCGCACTTTGTGCTCACTCATGCGCGCCCTGAGAAACTTCCCAGGGGGTCACCCATCCCAAGACTACTCCCGTGCAAGCACGCTTAACTTTGGAGTTCTTGGGTGATGAGCTCCCTTAAAAGGAGATGCACCTCTATTGGTATGAGTAGTACTATTAATCCTCTTAAATTAATCTCGGGTATTACAATCACCCCCACTTAGGTTCGCAACGTCCTCGTTGCGCCCTTAAACCAATCTCAATCAAACCCTTGAATCTTGCCCCGCTAAGTGCCCGCCTGATATCCAACGGATCAACACACTGTCGCAGGGTTGCACTGATACCATTTGTAACACCCCGGCCCCGCAGGGTCCGAGGTAGTTACTCCAGACCTCTAGTACTGTCCTCACAAACCACCACAAGCCTTTACCGTGCACTTTGTCCTCACTCATGCGCGCCATGAGAAACTTCCCAGGGGGTCACCCATCCCAACACTACTCTCGTGCAAGCACGCTTAACTTTGGAGTTCTTGGGTGATGAGCTCCCTTAAAAGGAGATGCACCTCTGTTGGTATGAGTAGTACTATTAATCCTCTTAAATTAATCTCGGGTATTACACCAGAAGACCAGGAAAAGGGAGAAGATGGTACTGTCCATGAAGAGGTAATGGATGAGGTACTTCTAACCTTAGATATTGTCACCTGCAAGAAAGGGCCCACTACTATGACACTTAAAGGAAGAGCAGAGAAACATATTATACACATACTAATTGATTCAGGGGGGCTTCAATTAGCTTCATAAGCAATGTTACGGCCCATAAGCTAGGTTGTAAGATGGATGAGGCTACTCCATTAAAAATAACTGTTGCAGGGGGCACAAACTGATTAACACATCACAAGTAGCAAATTCCCAATGGACTATACAAAAACATACATTCAGCCATTCTTTCAGGATACTTCAAGGCACATAATTTGAACTAATCTTAAGGGGAGATTGGTTGAGAGAACTTACTCCTGTCCAATTTGATTGTAAAAAGATGAGTGTCACAGTCACTCATGAAGGTACTGGGGTTGAAATATTGTGTGAAAAGAAATGCCCCATTATATGTGGCCATACCTTATACAAAATGATCTATGAAGAAGTGTCTAGCCTTATTGAAGAGCTTTATTAGATCACAGAAAAGAAAACAGATTTTGAGGCCCTAATAGAATTGAATCAGCTACTGAAGGAGTTTGAGAGTGTTTTGCAAAACCACAGTCCCTACCATCAAATAGGGGCATTGAACATCAAATATAGATTAAGTCTGGAAGCCTACCTATACAGCAATACCCTTACAGAGTCTCTCATAGTCAAAAGGCTGAGGTGGAGATGATAATAGCACAGTTACTACAGTCTGGTGAGATCCAACCTAGTAAGAGCCCTTTTTTATCTCTAGTATTATTGGTTCAAAAAAAAAAGGATGGGAGTTGGAGGATGTGTGTAAACTATGTATACTTAAAAAGTCTTACTATTAAGCATGACTATCCAATACCTGTTATTGATGAGCTTCTAGATTGATCTACGCTCAGGGTACTTTCAGATATTAATGGCCCTTGAACACATATATATATATATGACTACTTAGTGAGTGCCTTCTGGTCTCTGTAATGCCCCTGCAACATTCTAGTACTTAATGAATCGGGTATTCAGGGAATTATTATGGAAAATTGTTTTGGTGTTTTTTTATGACATTTTGGTTTATAGTTCTAGTTGGAGCCAACATATGGAGGATCTTAGAGAGGTTCATTAAGGTCTAATCAGCTTTGTGCCAAGAAAAATAAGTGTACTTTTGGGCAGACATCTATTTCCTATATCTGACACATTATTGATGAGAATGGTGTAGCGACAAATCCAGAAAATATTAGAGTATGGTAGATTGGGCCACACCATCTACCCTCAAGGACCTGAGAGGAATTTTGGGGCTAACATGATTTTACAGAAAGTTTGGCAGAGGGTATGGTATCATCAACAAGCCCTTTGACTTCACTTCTAAAGAAAGGGATTTTTGTGTGGAATTTTTAGGCTGGCCAGACTTTCAAAGAACTTAAGGTTGCAATGACAACTACCTCAGTCCTAATTCTACCATATTTTTCCAAACCCTTTATCCTGGAGACAAATGTTAGTGGGGTAGGATTGGGGCAGTGTTGATGCAAGAGGGAGGCCTATTGCCTTCTTAAGTAAGGAATTGGGACCTAAGTAGTTGGGGCTATCCATCTATGAGAAGGAAGTTTTAGATGTACTCCTAGCTATACAGAAATGGAGGAATTACCTACAGGGTAATAATTTCATCATTAAAACAGACCAACAAGCTCTAAAATACCTATTGGATCAGAAGATTATCTCTCCACTTCAAAAGAAGTGGATCACTAAGCTATTGGAGTTGGACTATGAGATACAATACAAGAAGGGTACAGAAAACGCTTTCCGGGCTATAAAAAAAAAAAGAAGGGGACAGAAAATAAAGTTGTAGATACTTTATCAAGGAAAGGGGAAGTTGAAGGGGAGTGTTGGCGGGGGCGGACGTATAGCAGCCATAGGGGGGCAGCTGCCCCCAACAAACTTCTACTAGCCTTTTATAAATTAGTAAGAAATATCCCAGCCCAATACTTTTGCCCCCAGTTAAAAAATAAAAATGCCCCCATATACCTAGCCCAATCAATCAATAAGCCCAAAAGACCCAAATAATCCAAATATCCAATACCCAAATTAAACAATTCGTACTTCAATTCCCAGCACTCCCCTAGCAGACAACAACCTAATCGGCAAATCTGAAATCCCTAACATTAGAAGAACAGAGTCTACGATTCGAGTAGACGAGTACTCGACGAGTCACGAGCGTCGAGCGGAGTGGAGCTTGGAGTCGACAAGCGGAGTCTGCCTGATTTCCTTAGCTTGCGCAGTGGCGCCATGGACGCTGAAGGCTGGACGGCAAACGATTAAGGGCTTTAGTGCAGACCAAAAGGAAAAAAAGCAGCGAGAACTCGAGAATGGGGTCAAGAAAATCAAAAGCTCCGATTCCAAATTCACAAAGTGCAGGTTTTTCTTTAAACTTATTGAATAGTAACTAATAACTATTTGAAATTGACTAATATATATTATTTGAATTTCATATTATACTATTATTGTTATATTGTATAAATTATTTGTTGTTTTAACTTAATGAGTCAATGGCCTAGTGGGTAGAATAATACTCCTTCCGTCCCATTTTACCTGTCCTACTTTCCTTTTTTGGTTGTCTCAAAATAAGTGTCTTCTTTCCTTTTTTGGAAAGAAATATGTGGTCTACATCATTTCACTTTATTCTACTCAAACCTCAACCACAACTTTTACTTTTTCAACCACTTCATTAATAATCGTGCCAAGTCAAACTAAGACACATAAAATGGGACGGAGGTAGTAGATTTTATCATTGAGCTTTCTGCCTTTGTACCTTTTTAGCTGTTGTAAATTTGTAATGCTTTACTTGTTTAGTCAATTAGTCATTTAGTTGTTTACTTGTTTAGACATCAGACATGATAAATATTCGTTGATAAAATTTATCCAACTTTACTAAAATGTTAGTCAAAATTAATCATAAGTATTTTAAAGTAGGTATAAATAGTATTAGGATTAAAGAATTAAGATAACCAGTAAAGTAACTATGCAAAATATATTTTTATAGCTAAAAGAAGGTATAACTGTATAAGATAATAAGATGTATAAAGACTACATTAGTTACCAAAAAAATTAATTTATTTTTTTATCAGCTTTTATGGGCAGATTTTTGAGTAAAACGTCCTCCTCAACACCCTCCTCAACACCAGGAAGTTCAAGTGTAAATTTGTGTAATATTACTTCTCAATGTCATAATCCAATGTCTCAAGAAGTCGATTTGGATGACCTTCCTTCGGACCCCGCAAAAAGAAGAAAAATTTCTGAATATCATCCTAATCAAAGGGATGAAATTCGAAGAAAATATCTGATTAAAGGTCCTTGCCAACCACGTGGTCATGACTTCCCACAAAAGGAAATCGGGAATACTTTGAGACGGTTTAATTCTAAATGGTTTGATAAATATCCTAGCTGGTTAGAGTATAGTTTTCAAGATGACAAAGCTTTTTGTTTATGTTGTTACTTGTTTAGAGATTATTTTGAAAATCGTGGTGGAGTGATGCATTTGTAAGTCAGGGCTTTTTAAGTTGGAACAAAACTGAGAGATTAGGTTCTCATGTGGGTGAAATAAGTAGTTTTCACAACATAGCAGTTAAAAGGTGCGATGCTTTGATGAACCAAGATCAATCAATAGCAGTTGCAATGGATAGACAAAATGAAATTGTGAAAAATGAGTACCGTATTCGCTTGAATGCTTCTATTGATGTTTCAAGATTTTTATTGCATCAAGGACTCCCTTATCGTGGTCATGATGAGTCTGAAGATTCTAACAATAGAGGGAATTTTTTGGAATTGCTTAAGTATACCGCTAGTCAGAATGAGGCGGTTAGTAAGGTTGTATTAAAAAAACGCTCCAGGGAATAATCAAGTTATTGCTCCAAGCATTCAAAAAGATATTGCCAATTGTTTTGCACAAGAAGTGGTGCGTTCTATTATTGCAGATATTGGTGATGATGTGTTTGCTTTGCTTGTTGATAAATGTGGCCTGGTTAAAGAAAGTTTTATTAGTGTTGTTCTTGTCAAAGATACATCTTCTTTATCTCTTAAATCTGTTATTAATTGTGTTTTTTCTGAATATGGGCTGAGTTTGAAAAATGTGAGAGGCCAGGGCTGCGATGGTGCAAGTAATATGCAGGGTGAATTCAATGGTCTCAGAGCTTTAATTTTGAAAGAAAATAACTCAGCTTATTATGTTCATTGTTTTGCTCATCAACTACAACTAGTTGTTGTGGCAGTTTCAAAAAAACACTTCGAGGTTGGAGATTTCTTTGATATGATTTCGCTATTATTGAATGTGGTTGGAGCTTCTTGTAAAAGAAGAGACATGATTCGACAAAGCCACCAAGAAAAAGTGAAGCAAGCTATAAGCAGTGGCGAAATTAGCACGGGAACAGGTTTGAATCAGGAACTTGCACTTCAAAGACCCGGAAACACGCGGTGGGGTTCTCATTATAGAACACTTTTGAATTTGGTTGAATTGTTTCCATCTGTTGTTGAGGTCCTTGAATATGTCGAAATTGAAGGCATTGATAGTGTAAAAAGATGTCAAGCAAACGGTCTTTTAAAATACTTTCATTCCTTTGATTTCGTCTTCTATTTACAATTGATGTTGCTTATTTTGGGACTCACAAACTCTTTATCAGTTGCTCTTCAAAGGAAAGATCAAGATATACTCAATGATATGTCATTAGTAGAAACAACAAAGCGGCAATTGTTAAAAGTTAGAGTTGATGGGTGGGGTTCTCATTTGAGAAAGATCTCTTCATTATGTGAGAAGTATGAAGTTTCAATGCTTGATATGGAAGCAAACTTTGTTAACCCAAAGAGGCCACGACAAAGAACTAATATTACCAATCGGCATCATTATGAGTTTGAATGTTTTAATACTGTTATGGATTTGCAAATCAAATAATTTGATGATCGCTTTGATGAGGTAAATTCTGAATTGCTTACTTACATGGCTTCTTTGAGTCCGATTGATTATTTTCGTGAGTTTGACCCTTTGAAATTGATGAGGTTTGCTGAGTTTTATCCAGAGGATTTTAGTTGTGTTGAACGCAGTAGTCTTGAGCATGAGCTTAGTGTTTACATTGATAATCTCCTAGCAGATGACAGGTTTCGTAACTTGAAAAGTCTTGGTGATCTTGCTCAAGTGATGGTGGACACAAGAAAACATCTTTCACACCCTCTCGTATATAGGCTTTTAAAGCTAGCTCTGACTTTGCCTGTTGCCACCACAACTGTTGAGAGATGCTTTTCTGCTATGAAAATAGTGATAACTAATTTGCGTAACAGAATTGGTGATCAGTTTCTCAGTGACCGTTTAGTTTGCTTTATTGAAAGAGATGTGTTTGAAACAATAACAAATGAAACTGTAATAGATCTCTTTCCTGTATGTGTGCCTTTTGACATTGTAATATACTTTATTTCATTATAATGTTCTCGTGTTTTTTGCTACATCTATTTGCTGTTCAGATTTTTTTTATTAAGTATTTTTATTTTATATTGGCTTTATGTTCATCATCTTAATCCTCCCCCAACACCTTCATTTCCTGTATCCGCCACGGAGTGTTGGTCTCTATCGCTGTCAAACCAGCATGGATGCAACAAGTAATTGAGAGCTACAAACAAGATGAATCCATCTTAAAATTAAAGGAAAAACAAGAAGAACCAACATCCACCCATATTTTGAGGTTCTAGATGAGATTGTGAGGCGTCTTGGAAGGGTGGCAGTAGGTACCACAACAAACCTAAGGGACACAATCTTTAAGGAATTGCATGCCTCGGCTGTTGGGGGACATTTTGGCATGCATGGCACTCTTATGAGAATGGAAAAGGGTTTTTACTAGCTAAAGATGAAGGAGGATGTTACACTTTGAGTCAAGGAATGTGAAACTTGTGCAAGAATTAAACATGAGGGGGGGGGGGCTATCCTGAACTGCTGCAGCCCGGACTCATACAAGACCAGGCTTGGATCCATATTAGTATGGATTTTATTGAGGGCGTACCTAAGTCACATGAAAAAATGTCATTTTGGTATAGTAGTGGTTGATATATTGACCAAATTTGGGCATTTTATACCACTCTCACATCCTTATACTACAGCTACAGTGGTTAGGGTGTTTATGGATCATATATTAAAATTACATGGTCAGTCCCTAAACATATTGAATGATAAGGATGTGGTATTTGTGGGTGAATTCTGAAAGGAATTGTTCAAACAAATGGGAACACACTTGAGCTACACTTCTTCTTATCATCCTCAGACATATGGGCAGACTGTCAATGTCCGACCAAAACCCAAAATAATGGTTCAACTGGATAACCATAGCTGAATATTGGTATAACACCAATTACCATACCAGCCTCACAACTACCCCTTTTGAAGCTTTATATGGTTACTCCCCCACCAACCCTGTCATTACCCATATCATCAACCTTAACTAATGCAGAGGTTAAGGACCTTATAACACAAAGATAAAGAGAATGCAGCAAGAGTTAAGGGAAATTCTTCAATTGGCTCGGGAAAGGATGAAGTACAATGTTGATACACATGCAGTTAACAGAGAATTTAAGGTGGGGGGTAGGGTATATATAAACTTACAGCCTTACAGACAGAAATCAGTACATCACAGAAGGAATCGGAAATTGTGTGCTCACTATTATGGATCCTACACAGTCTGGGAACGAATCAGAAAGGTGACTTACCTACTGGACTTACCTGAGGAAGCCAAGATCCATCCGGTTTTCCATGTTTCTCTACTGAAATGTTGCATTAGTCCACATGCAATCACCTCCACGGATCTCCCTACAGTTGGTGAAGATGGCGGTCTAAACACTTTGACCATAACGCAAGGGCCAGGTATGCTTGAGGATAAGGATCTTAAGAAAGGAAGGGGTATTATTATGAACGGCTTAGGAGAGAAAGATCAAACATGCTGAAGCGGGAAACAAAGTTGAAGAAAAGCTGGATTGATCCTATTAATAATGGGTCGGAGTTAATATCTATTTGGGCTTATTATCTTAAATAATAAATTGTATCTATTGTGGGCTTCAATTGTTGAGACATGCTATTATATTGTACGAATGAGTAATATCAAAATGCTCTCTCTCTCTCCTTCACTCCTCTCTGGCATTTTGTTTCTTCCCCAAACTAACCCATACAACACGACGAACCTTTACAATAATGCTTGTTAGTCATGAAAGTGATTGGACTAGATCAATTTAAGAAATTTAATTGAGTTAAATTTAATATATGACTATATCCACTCATTCAAATTTCTAATGTTATGATAAGTTGTTAATCACCAAAGTGATTTAAATGGTTAACTTAGAAATTTTTATTGAGAGGATTGGTCATGAATAGTTAAATTTAAGTATTTACATATAAAGAGTTTGTTAGTCACCAAAGTGACCTGACTCATAAGGTTAGTAAATAATTAAATTTTATGTAATTACACTTCTACAACCAATATGATTTATTGTATATAAATATAATGCTTGTCAGTCACCAAAGTGGTCTGGCTGAATGTTATTAGACCAATAAATCTGAAAGGTAAAATTGATTTTTCATAATTTTAGGATTCTAAATAATATAAAGTAATGCATTCAGATTATATTGCCATAAGAACACCAAAAGGTGGATCATGCATGTATAATTTATTTAAGAGACTAATTTTTATACTTAAATTAAATTGGGTTAATCTCCAAAGACAACACTCATTGAGTCATGTATAATTAATTTTCTAATTTTAGGATATTATTTGGCATCATTTTATGTAATATGTAAGAATTACTCAAAGGTGAACTTAGCATATATGTTTAGTTTTTCTAAGAATGAATTTGTATTAGTTAATTCAAAGCATTAATAGTAAGCATCTATATTGTTGTCGTTAAATCTCTTATCATCCAAGAACGATTTAATTAGGGAATTCATGGTAGAAATCAAGTCAAACAAGATTGATACACATTTAGGTTTTGTGTGTTTTGAATCAAATCTCATAGAAGTTTCTAATAACACATGGTGGTTAGATTTTGGTGCTTCTACTAATGTTTCTCACATTATAAAGGGATTTAAGTTCATCCAACCAATAAGGGGAAATGAACAATGCCCCTGTTTGGATATCAGCGGATTTGGCCAATCCGCCAATTTTTTACAAAGTGAAACGCTGCAAAAAGCAGTGGTTTCGTGTGAACCCTCCCAAAAACAAACGGAGCATATATCTATTTATTAGGAATAGGACGAAAGCACACTTCGAAGGTATAGGGACCTATAGATTGATATTAGACGCTGGATGTCTTTTAGATCTCGATAATTGTCTTTATGTTCCCGATTGTGCTAGAAATCTTGTTTCAATTAATAGGATGGGTGCTTTAGGATTTCATATCAAGTTTGGGAACAATACATTTTCATTATTTAAGGATAATTTTATTTATGAATCTTGTGTGTTGGTTGATCCCCTGTATCATTTTAATCTTGATTTGTAATTTACTGAATCTCTAATTAATGTTGAAGATAATGTGGGAGTTAAGTGTAGTGCACTAGATGAGGACTCTCGGCTTTCTCGTAGCACCAACGTCTCGGTCATAATTCCAAAGATATGCTAATGAGGTTCGTTAAGAAATATATTTTACCTTAATTGGATTTTAGTGACTGTGATGTGTGTGTTGATTGAATTAAAGGAAAGCAAACCAAACACACAGTAAAGGAGGCGTCCACAACGACCATAATTAACTAATATCCTAGCCATAGTAAAATACTAGCCATAATAAAATACTACACTTAAATCATATCTCTCAATACCCCCTCAAGATGGCGCATGGGGATTCAAAATGCCCAACTTGTGTAGGAGGGTCGATCTGAAACTGAGTCTTGCCAAGAACTTTAGTAAGAATATCCGCCAGTTGAATGTGGTAGGAACATAGTTGGGAGCAATAATCTTGGCCTGAATAGCATCGCGAACAAAATGATAGTCAACCTCAATATGTTTGGTGCGCTCATAAAACACATGATTCTGAGCAATATGTGGAGCAGATTGATTATCATAGTATAGGGGATTAGCCTGAGGATGTTGAACTCCAAGACTCAAAAGAAGATCTTTGAGCCATATTAACTCACAAGGTGTCATTGTCGTAGAGCGGTATTCAGCTTCAGTGTAAGAACGAGCAATAGTGGATTGTTTCTTAGCTTTCCATGAGATGGGTGAATGACCCAGAAAAACCAGCCAGCCGGAAAGTGATTTTCTAGCAACCATGCAAGCAGCCCAATCTGATGAGTGCCCTATGAACCAACTGAGTCCTAAGTGAGGTAAAAGTCTGGGGGTGAATAGATTTTTAAAATCTTTTCATTTCTCAATCCTTTTTCCTCTAACAGAATGAGTTTAAATATCTTTTGGGAGATATTCAAACATACATCGGAAGTCTTGACCTCAAGAATGTGACACTTTATTGAAACAAAGGTTATGACCTTTTTAGTTGTGAGAGAGATGGGTCAAACATGGTACACAATCTAGGGGACCTAACACAATTAGAGTCACATCAACCAGTAAGAGATAAATCACTATCAGCTCGAAGAAGAATCCCTTTCTCAGGTGCTCCTTTTAAATACCGCACAACTCGCAGAGCAGCAGTCCATTGATCACTGAGGGTTTTTTGCATAAATTGAAAGGGAATGTACACTGAATATGTGATGTCTGAACGAGTGACAGCCAAATAAATCAGTCTTTGAACAAGATGGAGATAGTGTTCAGGTTCCCGAAGGGGTGGTTCGGTAGCCGTCAGCAGTGTGTGATGTTGCTCGATCGGAAAAGAGGCAAGCTTCGCCCCCAACAGACCCATTTCAGTAATGATATCCAATGCATATTTTTTTGGTTAAGAAATATTCCAGTCGAGCTGCAGGCAACTTCGATACCCAGAAATACTTGAGGGTGCCCGAATCCTTCATATGAAAGCATGGATTAAGATATGATTTAAAACTAGTAATAGTAGTGCCATCATTGCAGGAGATGAGAAGATCATCTACATAAACAAGAACGTTAAGTTGGACAACCCCTCGAGTAAGAGTAAATAAGGAATAGTCAGCATATGATTGAAGGAAGCCATAACTCTTGAGAGCAATGACCAATTTAGCAAACCAGCATCGCGGAGCCTGTTTAAGTTCATATAATGATTTATGAAGTCGACAGACCAAGGCGGAATTGTTAGTTTTATAGCCCGGAGGGATAGTTATATAGACCTCCTCATGCAAATCGCCATGTAAAAAAGGCATTATGTACATCTGTTTGATGCAATTCCCAATGCTTAGTTGATGCTATGGCAAGAAAAGTGTGCACTGTCACCGTTTAGCAACCGGAGCAAATGTTTTTGTATAATCCAAGCCAGCAAATGGCTCTGATGCCATAATAACTTTATGTATGTTACATAGGTATGCTAATTAGGAAGAAGAGATAGAAGATGATATTGCTTTCATGTTCTTTATGGACCCAACCGGCCAATATAAACAGCTGCAGAATTGTGTGTGTGTGTGTCCAGCCCCTGCTGTTTGACGTGTTGGCTGTTGCCCGTGCTTGGAATACAGATAAGGTGTATTGTGTACGTCCGATGGAATTTTTTGGATAGACTTAGTTGGACTTTTGTGGGGTGTGGTTGAAATGGGTGGAGTGTGTAGAATTATATGGAGTAACTTGAATTTTAAAACTATATGGAGTATTTCATTTCAAAACCCTTTTTGCATGAGTACTACTCAGTACTCAATTAAATATAAAAGAAAAAGGAAAAAATATCTTATTTTAAAATTTTCTAAAAATCGGTGACTTAGATTTTAGTGGTCACTCCAAAATACATTATGGTGACTCTTGTTCAAGTACTCGTACATAGTGACTAGTTATAATTTTGTCCAAAAACATAACTAGTCATAGTTTTGTCAGAGGAAACTATATTAATAATATGCATGTCATTTTTTCTGACATTTATTAAATTCTTCAAGTCATGGAAATAAAAATAAAATAAAATAAAATAAAAAGTTGCTCGTCTTGCCGCCTTTCGGAAACCTCTGTTGCGCAGCAAGCCATGCACAAAGGCTTAGATGGCGGACGCAGCCACTTCCGTATGGCTCACAGTACACAGCGTCGCAGCCTCTTCGCCTCTTCCTCTTGCCACCACCGACCTTGTCGAAGACTGGAAATCCAGGTTCGCAACAAGTCACCTGCCTTGTCGAAGACCTTCCTTTCTAAATATGTGTCGCCCCTCCAAGATCCCTAGACTGGTTCCGCCACTGAGTATAAATACATGAACATGCCGACCAATTAAGATCGGTCATCCTAAATATATGGTTAAATAATCAGCAACCACAATTAACTAATATCATAGCCGTAATAAAATACTTGCCATAATAAAATACTACCCTTAAATAATACTCTTTGACTGACATTATATTTAATTCTCTATTAGTAAAAGCTTTTAAAAATCAGATTATGAAACTTTGTAATGAGACGAATTCAACTATATTTTTCAAGAAAAATAATTCACATACATTAATAAATAAAATGTAGTCAAAATAGAGTACATGAATAGTGTTTAAATTTCAATGTTGCAACTATTATAATACGGAGGATAGTATCTCCCAATACAAAGTTTTAAAAGACTAGCACTTGAAGTAAAAATGGATAGAAAAGCATTACTACTTTCGTCCCAAATTGATTTGCAAATTTAACTTTTCTTGATCAAACAGTTCCATTTTATTCGTTTAATTAGGATGTCAAATTTTAATTATATTCTCATTTGAAGTTTGCAAATTTGTATAGATTTTAATATAATTTTTGAATATGTAAATTTTAATTATTAAAAAATGAATTAACTATCGATATGGAGGATTGACTCCTATTTTTGGTTGACAAAAAAAGTTAACTTTGCAAAATAATTTGAGTGTTAGTTAAGACTACGGAGTACTGCGTATCAAATATCATGACCACAACCCACCATTATCTCGAGTAGCGGTAAAGAGAGCAGTAGCACTGTGAAAAGCAGCAAAAAAGAAGTAAGGGGCTGATGATTACATTCTCTTCGGGAATTCAATTCTGCCCCATGGGTGTTAACGTACACATGGCCCGCCATTTCTAATTTATCTTATTTTGGCTCATAGTAATGATAAGTAATCATTATTACTCAACTTTCTTTCTTCCCAAAATTCCACACACTAAACACACTGCGCTAGTGTATGATAACCAATCATTAGTACCTACCTTTTTTCTTCACAAAATTCCACACGGTGATATTCAACCTTCCTTTTGTTTGTCGTGTTACATCACAACTTTTTTTTTGCGATTCTTACGTATTTTGTTGTCTTTTATTTGCAATAGTAGTCATTTTGTACAGTTCACATGCATATTTTACATTGACAATATTTTATGTATTAATGTACTATGAATTAAATTTTTGAAAAAAATTGCTAAATTCCTCTAGACATTTTAAATTTTCAAAATCTGAATTTTATAACTTTTTATCTGAAATGAAAGATACTAATGATCAAACTTATTTTTTATAACTTTTGACAAGTCTTCCAAGGCCTTTCTTGATTTTCTTTACACCCTTCTTCATGAATCTTACAACATGTTCTGCCCAATCAAATACTCTTCCACTGGGTGCAACTAGGGGTGGACTCGGGCCGGTTCGGGCCCGGTTCGGGCCTGGGCCCGGCCGGTTCGCGGTTCAGAAATTATAGGCCCGAGCCCGAACCGCCGGTGGCCGGTTCCGGTTCCGGGCCAAACCGGGCCGGGCCGGGCCAACCGGCCCACATATTTTTTTTTTGGTTTTTGGTTCTCCTATTTAACCCCCTACCCCTCCCCCTCAACCCCAAACCATCCCAAACCACCTCAAATGGCCCAAAATACCTAATCCAACCTAAAACTTAAAAAAATTTCAAAAAAAAAAATTAAAATCCGGCCCGGACCGGGCCCGAACCGGCCGGGCCGGTTCACCAAAAGCTGGGCCCGAGCCCGGACCGCCCAGCACCCGGGCCGGGCCAAACTGAACCGGTGGACCCACCGGGCCGGGCCAAACAGTGAGCGGGCCGGGCCGGGCCCGGGTCGGGCCGACCAGGCCGAGCCCACCCCTAGGTGCAACATCAAATATGAATGTATATTTGCTTTAGTTTGATATTACTAATATCATCTTGATTTTACTAATATTATATTACTAAAAAAATGAATGTATATTTATTTGAAATATTAACTACAAGTTTACAAATTACAATAGAGAATTGAGGGAAAAATTAAAACATCAAATACATTTTATAATAAATTGTAAAATACTAATCAATCGGAATCTCTGGCATAGGAGCCACCCTCGGTTGTTGATTCATCCATAACCGTATGAAGACTTTCACACATGGATCACCTTAACAAAAAGGGTTTCAAGGATGGCTCTCTGAAAGGAAAGTGTTACATATTTATGGGACAACCCTAAAAGAAAGTGTATCATACAAAACAGGACGGAGGAAATATAAGTTTGTCCATTGATGTTGCGACAATATAGGACCCATTATGAACTAAGAACTTGACACCATTGTTGTGGATTTGTGAATGCTCTTAAAATGTGGGTATCAAGCACGTCCTCAGTTGGCCTAGTTTTTATACGCAGTCATATTCATCAAGCAACCCAAAGTTTTTATTTGTCAATGCATCATCATCTTCTTCACAAGATTGGTCCTCTACATGTAGGTAATCAGAGTACGTATCGTTGGGTTCATTACCTATTAGGAATTTTGCATCTGAACTACTACTGTTTTTAGGGGACGGAGTTCCAGCACCTCCTACTACAGCTTCTCCAAGATCTTGATTCTGCATTAACGCTTAGCACATGAATAAAGCACATAAAATGGCATGTTACCGATCAGTGAAGATAATAAAAATGCAAGTAAAACACTCGGAAGACTGAAAAATCAGCCTCTCGAACCTATTATGTTCACACTGATATACAAAAACAAATGCTCTCCCATTTTATAAGATAGATTTTACTTTTTTTATTGTCCCACGAATTATGAATGCCTTTCTAATTTGAATTCTACTAATTTTTTACTTTTGCACTTTATTCATTTATCTATCTCTTCACTTTTCAGGTATTACAATTGCAAAACAAAAACTATTCCTGCCTTTTAGTAACCTGGCCAATCCAAGAAAAGAAAATGATGCGCCATATCCCTGAGGGTGCGCCCTCCAGATCATCCAGACAGTTTGCTAGAAACGTTAAATGAAGTTATAAGAACGCTTAACTCATATGTATCTTACATTTTAGGATTAAGGGGGTACAAGTCTACAAGATTCCTTGTGGTATTTTCCCCAATAGGGTTTTCCATGCATGCTAGTAAACAGTCGGTCCTATTTAGTAATCCCAAACTCGACTCATGAAAATTTGATATTTAAAGACACATGAAGTTACTCAAGGAATGGTGTAATGGGGAATCAAGTAGGGCTGGGACTTTGGAACCAAGAACCGGAGAACCGAACCGGACCGAACCGTTATGACCCGGTTCGGTTCGGTTCCAACATTTATTAGTTATTTTTTAACGGTTCGGTTCCTATTTTTTATTAATGGTTCGGTTCTCGGTTCCTGAAAAAAATATGTACTAGGAACCGTTAAGGAACCGTTATATATAATAATTAAAATTATATATATTTCTTATGAGCATATATATTTTAATGTATATTTACTTACTTATTTTTATATTACATTCATTATTTTTGTTTAGTTATTCAACTATTTAAAACTATTATTCACTTCAACCGGTTCTCTTAGGCTTCTTAGGCCTCTCATTAGGTCCAAACTCCAGTGGGTCGGAACTTTGAGGCTCCAAGTATTTAAAATTATTATTCTCTTTAACTGTTTAAGCATATTTGTATCGTAATTTCAAACGTAGAATGTCTTTTTGGCAAAAATTTAGTCATGATTTGTAAGAATTTTTTCGGAGACTAGGAACCGTTAAATGACAAGAACCGAACCATTAAGAACGGTTCGGTTCCTTATCGATTCTATAAAATAATTTATAAGAACCGAACCGTTAGTAAAATTTCATATTTTCAAACGGTTCCACATATTTGGCCTAGGAACCGAACCGGTCCCAGGCCTAGAATCAAGGATAAACTAAAATGAAATAAAAAGGGAGATGGGGGGAGGATTCATTTGACTGCTAATATGACAACCATTTAAACAATACCAATTCATCATTTAGTTGATTCAGGGCAGCAAAATTGATTATTGAGCTTCGTATCTGCAAAACCAAAAAGTACACATAACAGTCAAAAGGCATGGACCACAATGTAATATAATGCATCAAAACTAAAATGCATACCAAACTACGTCTGGTATGGTGTAGAAGTGTATTTAGCACAGTGAAGAAGCTTCCAAAGCTGGATGCATTCAAACAATGCTTCAACACACGCCACCCACTAAGGACTTTGGTGGTGTGGTGTGTATGATGTGCCATATTTGTCTCCAATGCACACTATGCACCATAGGAACTTATCCCCAGTGGAGGATGAATTCAACTCTTGAATTGTTTTTTTTTTGAATAATTATACTTATTAAACAATTTGGAGAAAAAAAAATGTCAGTGAGGTCATTCATCTTCTTAGACAAGTTGTGGAGAAGTATATAGAACCTAAAAAGGATTTGCATTAGTGTTCATTGACTTAGAGAAAGCATATTATAGGATACCTCGAGAAGTCCTAAACTGATATGGTAAATATATCAGTATCATCATGGATATGTATGAGGCTTGTACTACAAGTGTTCACACTAGTGTAGGAAGGACTGCAGAATTCTCGATTATTATTAGAGTGCACCAAGGATCAACTTTGAGTCCTTTCTTATTTGTTATAGTCATGCATGAACTTACGAAATCAATTCAAGAAGATATATTGATTGATGAGATGCAATCGGGTGTGAAAGCAAAGTTGGAAATATGACGACAAACATTGCACACCAAGGGTTTCAAATTGAGCCGAAGCAAGACTGAGTATAAGGAGTGAAAGTTTGGTGGAGGTAGAAGTAGTACTAACAGTGGAATTACCCTTGATGGGAAACAGATACGGGTGTGTGATATGTTCCGCTACTTGGGCTCCATAATTCAGAAGGATGGTGAATTAAATGCACATAGATGTTAGGGTTAGGGACTTAGGGCGCACACACACACAAATTAACGTGGTTCAGCCAGTAAGTGTTACTGACCTAATCCACGGGGGCAACTAGGGTTTTCTTCTTTATTGAGGTGATGAATGATACAGATTATAGTTTACAAGTACAGGAGTCAATATATAGGCAAACAATTCGGGTAAAACACTTAAAGAAGGTTCTGGGTCTGACTGCCATCAAAGAATTAGGCCCAACTAGGGCTGCCTGCACATTTAACTAGAGCAGGCTGCTGCTCTTTGTTTAGATGGCTCCCAGGTCTGAGTGGGCCGAAGCTTACAGCCCAACAATCTCCCACTTGGAGGCTTCAAAAACACGATCAACTGCACTCCACTCCTCTGTACTTTAAACTTCATATGTTTTTAGCTTCTCCTAGTTGCCACCTGCCTTCTCAACATTATTCTTGAAGGCCAGCAGAAGTTACACAGAACTTCAGCTTGTCCAGCGTCACAGATTTAGTGTCACAGATTTAGTGAACATATCTGTTGGATTCTTTGCACCTGAGATGTTCTTCAAGTTCATCGTTCCTCCACTGATCAACCCTCTAACAAAGTGATATCTCATCCCAATGTGCTTCGTTTTCCCATGATAGACTGAATTATTGGCAAGTTTCACTGCACTCTCATTATCACAGAGTAATGAGTAATCTGCTTGTTTGTTGTCTAACTCTTCAATGAAGTTCCTCAACCAAACTAGCTCTTTACTGGCTTCAGCAACTGCCATGTACTCTGCTTCGGTTGTTGAGAAAGCAACACTTTTCTGAAGTTTGGACATCCAACTAATTGCGGTTCCTCCCATTGTGAAAATGTACCCCGTAGTGCTTTTGAACGTCTCTTTGCACCCACCCAAATCAGCATCAGAATACCCTCTTAAAATTATGTCTTTACTTCTGAAACATAACCCCATCTTTGTAGTACCCTTCAAATACCTAAGTATCCATTTGACTGTTTCCCAATGTTCTCTCCCCGGTTATGACATGAAGCGACTAACAACCCCGACTGCATGAGCTATATCTGGTCTCGTGCACACCATAGCATACATGAGGCTACCAACTGCAGATGCAAAAGGAACTTTAGCCATTTCTGCATTCTCTTCGTTTGTTCTCGGAGATTGGTCTTTGGTGAACTTGAATGACTTCCCAAAGGAGTGTTTATTGGTTTAGTCTTCTCACCATTCATATTGAATTTCTCCAACACTTTCCCAATGTACTTCTCCTGGGATAGTGTTAAAGAACCATTCTCTTTGTTTCTGACTACGCTCATCCCGAGTATTTGTTTGGCTGGACCCAAATCTTTCATTTCAAATTCTTGAGATATTTGCTTCTTTAACCTGCTGATCTCTTTCATATCTGCACTATCTATCAACATATCATCTACATAGAGAAGTAGAATGATATATGAACTCTTGAACCTCTTCACGTAGCAGCAATGATCCATCTCACATCTTTTGTACCTTGTCCTTATCATGAAGTTATCAAACTTCAGATACCACTGTCTTGGAGCTTGTTTCAAACCATATAAGCTCCGTTTTAGTTTGCAGACCAGATTTTCTTTACCAGCAACCTGAAATCCTTCAGGTTGTGCCATGTTGATATCCTTATCAAGATCACCATGTAAAAATGTTGTCTTAACATCTAGTTGCTCTAGATGTAAGCCCTCTGCAGCTACAATGCTTAGAACCAATCTGATGGTGGTCATTCTAACCACTGGAGAAAATATCTCATTATTACCCACTCCCTTTTTTTTGCTGAAAACCTTTGACCACTAAACGGGCTTTGTACCGTTTAGACCCATCAGGTTCATCCTTGATTCTAAATACCCATTTATTTTGAAGTGCCTTCTTGCCTGGCATAAGTTTAGTAAGAACCCATGTCCTGTTCTTGTGCAAGGCACCCATTTCTTCCTTCATAGCCTGCTCTCACAGTCCCACTGAAACGAATCATTCTGCTTTACTGCTTCAAGGTAACTTTCTGGTTCTCCGTTTTCAGTCAAAATAAGGTAATTGACTGATGGACTGAATCTTTCTGGAGGTTTAGTGACTCTAGTGGATCTCTTGACCCACTGTGTTTCAACGGGTTGCTGCTGCACAGGTGAAGGTGCTGATTCATCTTCTGAATTGTCACTATCAACAGAGTCTCCTTGATTATCCTCAAGCTCGTCAATACTGGAATCATTCTCCGTGCTCCCACTGCTTTGAGTATCTTCAGACTCTCTCTTTCTGTTGACTTCATTTTCAAACTCAACTTGCTCTTTCTGGATCTTTGAGTTTGTTGTGCTTCTGTCTTTATAAAGTTCAGCCTCGTTGAATGTAGCATGCTTACTTCTGATTACCTTTCTGCTTTCAAAGTCCCAAAGCCGGTAACCCATGTTGTCTCCCCCGTATCCAATGAAAGTGCATTTCTTGGCTTTATCATCTAACTTGTCACCATCTTTCATAAGATCATAAGCGCTGCAACCAAATATCTTTAAATGCCCATACTTGACAGCTTCTCCTTTCCATTCTTCCTCCGGTATCTTGAAACCTAATGGTACTGATGGCCCCCGGTTGATAAGATAAGCAGCAGTATTCACTGCATCAGCCCAGAACGTTCTGTTCATCCTTTCTGCCACTCCGTTCTGTTGAGAAGTGCCTGGAACCGTCTTTATCATCCGAATGCCATGTTCAGCACAATAATCAATAAACTTTGTGCTAATATATTCACCACCATTGTCCGATTTCAAGCATTTTACCTTCAAATTAGTTTCCAATTCAATAGCAGTTTTCCATTTCTTAAAAATATTGAAAACTTCAAACTTATTTTTAAGAAAGTAGACCCATACCTTGCGTGTTGAGTCATCAATGAAGGTCACATAGTAGCTTGATCCTCCCAGGGAAAAGACTGGTGTCGGGCCAAACACATCCGTGTGAACTAGCTCCAGCTTCTGAGTTTTCGGTGTCTGACTTGTCTTCACAAAAGAAACCTTCTTTTTCTTGCCAAGAACACAAGGTTCACCAAACTCAGAATCCACCTTTTACAAATCTGGAAGTTTCCCCCTTGCAACGATCATCTTCATTCCCTTTTCACTCATGTGGCCAAGCCGTTGATGCCACAAACTGGATGGATTCAGCCCGCAGGTCACTGCATTCATCTCATCATCAGGGGCTTCATTTATATATAAAGTACCCCTCTTTTTGCCTCTAACGATTACAAGATTCCCCTTGACAACCTTCCATTGTCCTTCACCAAATGTAACATCAAATCCCTGATCATCCAACTGCCCAATAGAAATCAGCATCTTCTTAAGGCTTGGAATGACCCAAACGTCTTTCAATGTTCAAGTGGTGCCCAAAGAAGTCTTTAAGTCTATGTCACCCATCCCTGTGATGTCAAGAGAGTCGTTATTAGCCAAATGAACTTTACCAAAATTACCTGTCCATAGATTCTTCATCATCTTTGTGCTGAAAGTAGCATGAAAAGATGCACTAGAATCCATAATCCACGACTGTTGACTTTTCAACACAGCAAATAAGAGCATCATCTGAATCGTCAGTGGCTGCATTCACTTCCTTCCTTTCTGATGATTTAGGGCATTGATTTCTGAAATGCCCGGTTTCTTTGCAGTTCCAGCATTGAATATCTTTTCTCGGTTTTGACTGGCTCCTCTTTCTAGACTTTGATCTGCCTCTGCTATTTCCCTTCTCTTTCTTTCTACCTCTCCCTTCAGTGCTTAACAAAGCACTAGAAGATTCTCCAGAACTCCTCCTTGTATCCTCTCCTAGGATAATGTCACGAATGCCCTCAAATGTGAGTTTAGAGATTCCAGTTGAACCGCTGATGGCAGTGACTGTTCCTAACCAACTTTCTGGTAATTAGGATAACAAGAATAAAGCTTGGACTTCATCTTCAAACTTAATATCAAGCGGCATATGATAGTATTAAACTCGTTTATATGTGAGGTAACAGAAGCACCTTCTTTCATTCTAGTGTTTACTAGCTGTCTTATCAGAAATACCTTATTTGACGCCGATGGTTTCTCATACATGTTTGAAAAAGCCTTCATCAAACCACATGCAGTAGTCTCCTTCAAGATGTTAAACGCC